CATTCGCACTTATAGTAAAATTTATATATAAAAAAAAAATTTTTTATCCAGGTGACTGGCGGATTGCCTATTAAAAATTTTATAAGTTTATTCCTATGCATTATTGCATAGGTTTAAAACTAGTAGAAAATAATTTAACTTCTATATGAAAATTAATAAAATCTAGTTGTACAAACTTTTTTTTAAAGATATATACTAAAACATAAATTTAAAATTAAAAATTTAATTTTTCAACAACTATCTCATCAAATTAATTCAAATTTTTTGTTACTATAAAAATACTTGAATTTTAACATACTAAGTTTTTGGAATATTAGATTTTAATCCTGAATTTTTGTTAATTTTTAATTAAATTTAATTATTATTTTTTATTTTTCTAAAAAAAGCTCATCAAAAGTTTGGCTCTTATCTAACTTTTGTTGTAGTAATTGAAAATTTTTTTTAAAAAATACTAATCTAGATTTTTATAGTACTACTTACTGTAAAAATTTCAAAGCTATATTTTTTAAATTTAAAAAGTTATAAGAGTGGAATACTTATAACTCCAACTGTAAATATATTTTCATTGTTTACTATGTTTTGTTATTAAACCTAAACATGTTCATGAATCTTGAACTGAACCTAAACTGAATCAAACTTTAAGTTTAGATTTAGTTTAGGTTTATAAATTCAAAGTTCAGTTTAGGTTTAAGTTTAAAGATTTGCAAATTTGTAGTTCAGGTTTAGGTTCAGGTTTATTGAACCTAAACTTAAACTGAACTGAATCTAGAAACTCTATTAATGTGCCAAAGCTCCTATTCTAGATAGTGTTACCAAGATTACATTTCTAGATTAAACTAATTGTTGATAGCTATTAACTATAATACAAACCTATTTTTTAAAATCATTGTTTATAGGATTCAAACTCTAGACCTGCCACTTGGAGAGAGTAATGACTAGACTACTCACTAAGTTATTACACCTTTAGCTATAACAATAATCATTATTTATAACTATTATATTTTTAATTAAAATTATTAAAATTTACTTAAAATTAAAAAATTAAAGATGTAATTTTCACTTATTAAATTTAGTACTATATATAGAGATGAGTCAGTAAAAACAACCCAAATTTTTTTCAAATAAAAGTTTTTCTAATTTTAAGCTTAAATAACTAAGCAATTATTTTATTAAATTCAATAAAATTTTTTTATTTTAATTCTATATAATTCAAAAAATTTTTTAGCAAATTTAATTGAATGGTTATTTAGATATTTTAATTTAAAAATTAAAAAATTTTACTAAAAACAATTTGATCCTTTTCTACTGTATTGACTCACTCTATATAGTAAGATATATATAAAATTTTAACTTATATTAAAAATTTTTAAATAATTACAAAAAAATTTTATTTATATAAATTTTAAATATATAAATATAGTTTATAATTTTAAATGTATAAAATTTTGTATTTATAAAAATTTTTAATAAATATAATTTAATTTAAACTTAAAATTTTATAAATTCCAATTGCTTAAGTTAAAATCCATTTTTTTAATAATTATCTAATTAAAACTCAATAAAATTTTTTTACAGAATCATAATAACCATTATAATAATTTAGATATTAATCTAAGGTCAAACTTTTCAATCACCCCGCATAGATTAATAGATTAATTAACTAATCGAGCTAAAACTAAAAAATGTAAAAATAAATTTAATATTAGAGTATATCTGATATATTGTTAAAAATTGTGATAAATTTACAAATTATTAGACTTATTTAATTATATCAAAGATTTTCAAGACCGAAGTTTTTAGTAATTAATATCAATTAGAGATTTTAGATTTTGATATACCATATGAGTGCTGCCAAGGGAAAATCTGGCATCGGACTTTCAATTTTTTGTGTACATTAGCCGTCTATAGAAATCCATTTCATCAATCGATTAGTTGTTTAATAAAAATAATCAATCTCAGTTGTCAACTTGACCAATTAAACGATTAATGATTTTCGATTTGGAACACTAATCCCGACGAAATTGGCTAATAATAGTGTTCTTTCGGGAAAATGGCTTTTGGAAACTTGAGCCACTATGCAAGATCGGATGATTTTTGCACAATCATCAATCAAAAAAAGAAAATTAAAATAGTCTAAGTACGTACGTGCCACAATACGTAATAATTACATCTTTTGCTTAAATTATACAAAAAAAAGGATTCAGACAAGGCAACGATGTAAAGCTTGAATAAATACATAAAAGGTTAGTCAAAATTTTAGAGAGGAATTTGATGTATGTACTATGTACATCATAACGATGTTAGGTACCCCGTCAATAACGATAATCATATAACAACGATAATAGAGAGGGCGTTTTTTTCTCATGAGACGATTAAGGTAATAGATATACCAATTAGAAAATAACCGGATCATAAATAGACGTTGTTTTTTTAATATTAAGGCGAGAAATAAATTTTCGTTCAAGGAAAAAATAAAGAAAACCAGACATCATAATAAGCCATTAACGATGACTTGTGGAGAACTTAAAGTATTTATTGGTAAAAATGAATTTTTTTTTTTTTACTTTTTTTTTTGTTATACCGAATAATTTACGTAAAAATTTTAAAATTATATAGTGTGTGCAAAAGACCTACCAAACAAAGATGAACGAGGTAAACAACCACGGTTTTTCAAAGTAATAAATTAATTTAACTTTACGATAAACACCTTTTTTTTTATTATAAAAAAAAAAAAAACTTTAGGCAAAAGTAAGTACTTTTTTTTTTAACGCTAGCTATTTTTTACTTTTTGTTTTTTTTTAACCTTTTTTTTTTTTGCTGTATTTTACAAAAAGGTGATCCTTACGTAAATGTTTATTTGGATAAGAAATATATTCAGAAAACACAAACTATAGTCGGCAATTTAAATCCTGTTTGGAATGAGGAGTTTACATTGTAATTTTTTAGTTTTTTTTTTATTATTTTTAAAATAATACTAAAGCGCACCAGTGATGCATAGTACCTTTATTATTAAAGCTAAGAGATTGGAATTAAAATTAGAGGAGGGTTTGTGAAATTTTACTTATAGCATTGAACACCGATCACTTTAACTTTTGAGATATAGCAATTTTGTGATATTAAATACCACTGGTGTGTTTTAGTAATTCGAAAAAAAAAAACCTAACAACTACCTATATCTTTAAAGCCAAGTAGAAGATGGTGTGAAAACACTTCATCTTGATGTTTTTGATTCTGATGAACCGTCAAAAAAAGATGATCCTGTAAGATTTCAATTGGATTTTTTAATTCATCTTTATTCTGTCTAGCTATTTCTTTTCTAATTATTTTTTTCTGATAAATAGTTGGGTACCGCAAAGATTGATCTTACCGATGTATTCACTAAAGGAGAAGTTGAAAAGACAGAACAATTAGTATCATCATCTATTCTTGGTCTTGCTTTGGCTAAACAAGGTTCGATCACTTTCAGGTTGACATTTACTAAGAAGCCGTAATTGTTCTAGTTCTTTTATGTAAAAAGTTGCAGAATCTTGTATAAATGTTTTATATTATTACGATTGTATGATTCTATATGATATATATATATATATATATATATATATTTAAGATAGTATTTCGAGAACTTTATCATAATAAATATATATATTCAAACGTCGTCATTCATTCTGGTGCTGAAGATTTTGAATTTTGGTTGAACGAAAGTATAATTATTAAATCATGTTAAAATATAAATAAAAAAAAACTTTGAACAGTCCAGAGAACCAAATAAACATAACAAAAGCCTAAACGAATCGTTGATAGCCAGTGTGTTGGGCAAATGAAGCATTATTACAGTAACGCGAAATGGAGCTTTTTCCGCAATTATTGATTATATAGATAATTAAATTAAAAGAAACACATATTTATAATAAATTATAAAGTTTAATTTTAAAATTTCCAATAATAAAGAAATGATGAATTGGACCAGAGTAGGCGAAATTTCCAATGGACACCAAAATTGCCAATACTGATTAATATTCATCATCAGTTATCTAACTCATTACAAATTCTTTTTAAAAACATCAATATATCCAGCATCTAGTTCAGGGACGCGCAAAAATTATTTTCAATATTAAATAGATAATTTGGCATGATCACAAAACGGCATATTAATTTTTTGTTTTCTGAAAAGAAGTCATTAGAAAATTCTTGTGCATGTGTTTCAACACTTATATTTTTTGTACAGCCTATTTTTTTTTTTTTTAAAAAAAAAAAATTACACCGAGATTCTCGAAATAGCGGGCAGGGGCGTTAATTCGAAAATCACGCCCCCTAAAAATAGCATAGGTAGTTTCGAAATAACGCTCATGCGCACCCGCATCATAGTAAGGGATAGTAAAATTTAAAAAAATGCTTCGGAACTAGGTTTGGTACTAAGTAAACCCACTTTCGAACTTTAATAAAGTTGTTCTTCAGTTAGAGACGGTTCTAATGGTGGTAGATCATCAAAAGCGATTCAGTAGATCGCCCGTAATAGCTTGCAGCTTATAAACAAAGATAAACAAACTTTGCAAAACTTCGAAGATCTATTGGGCGATATACTGGGCTGTTTTGGGTGATCTTACCGCCATTAGAACCGTCTCGATCTGAAGAACAACTTTATTAAAGCCCAAAAGAATGTTTACTTAGTACCAAACCTAGTTTCGGAGCATTTTTTATTTATTTACTTTTTTGTATATAAAAATTTTTATATCTATTTCAAAATATCGCCCATGCGCGTACTAAAATAGCGCGCACTGATTCAAAATAGCGCGCAGATGCCCACTATTTCGAGAATCTATGGTAACAAGTTTCTAGTACCCAGAGGTACAAAAGACTAGTTATTCATAAAAAGGCACAATACTCACAATACTCAAAGGTAAGAACGATTTGAATAAAATCGTTAGGAACCTACATATATATAAAGATGATATAAATATGATGTAAGATATATAGGGTGTCTGGCATAGTGGCAAAGGCATGCCAACAGTGGCATGCCAAAAACAAATTTGGCATGCCACTGGGTACAGTATAAAAATTATACTTACAATATTCAATCTAGATATGGTATTATAAATAATATATAACATTTTGTGGCATGCCATGGCACAAATTTTAACAAAAGGCATGCCCTGTGGCATGCCAAATTTTTTTGGCGTGCCAGACACCCTAAAGATATAATGATGTGATGTAAGATATAATTAGTGTTATAAATCGGACCAAAAAATGCAATCGATTAGTTGGCCAAAATTTTTTAAAAAATCGATTAAAAATCGATTATAGCCAACTAATCGATTAATCGATTAGTCAATTAATCGATTAATTGACTAATCGACTAGTTAGTACTGTATAGCTTGGATATAATTGCGTAGGCATTAATCACAAGATCAATATATGATACTATATAAAACAACTAGTCGATTAGTCAACTAATCGATTAACTAACTAGTCTCGTCGACAATCGATTAGTTGTCTAATAAAATCATCAATCGATTAGTTGCCAATTCGATTAATTAATCGATTTTCGATTTGGAACACTAGATATAATGATGATTTTGATGGTTGATTAATTCGAACCAATGAAAATCGAGATTTCTACAAAAATACTCGGAAATTTGTATTTCTTTGGATAAATACTGAGAATATGTATTTCTTTAAAATTTGATTTATTTTTTTTCAAGATCTTGCGCGTCCCTAGCAGATCTAGCTCGCTCTCTGAATTGTTTCAAGGTTTTATTTGTAGCAACTTTAATTCGATCGACAATACTGTCGATAGAATCTAAAGCTGGTCGTACATCAAGGTAAAATATTGGCGTTTCACCTTCATCTGGACCTGAATAATAATCAATAATATATCGAACTTCTTTACCACATCGGTCGATTGTCCAGTCGTGACGATCAAATGGTGGTGGTGTGCTAACGAAAAAGAAAAATCGGAATGTCAATAATTTTGATAATGTCAATAATGTCAATAATGTAACAATGTCGATATTGTTGGGAATTCGTTTATTTACCCTAATGAAGGAAATAATTTTCCCGTCCACTGAAGCAATCGAGCTTTTGGACTAAGTTCTTGAGGTCGTCCTCGAAAACGTAATAACTTTGGACCATCACATGGGCTTTAAAAAAAAACCGTATAAACGAGATATTAAAAGATTGAATAAACACTCAGTTAATTAGGGGTTTCAAGTTAAAACGCAGAAATCTAATTTTAATTGAAATTGATGACGTATTTATTTTGAAATAAGTGATCCGGTAATCTGATTTTATCTTCAGTTTGAACGAAAGTTTTACTTTTTATTTATTTTTTTTTTTACGAAATATTATTTCATGAAATGGGATCTCCAAACACTCCCATTTCATTTTCCGATTTTAAAATCTTGAAAAATAAATAAGTTTTTTCAAACTCTCATTTAATTTCAAAATGTGCCACTTGTTTGTTAACTTTGAAACCCCCTAATAGTCATAAATCGTCATAAGAATATGCTTTATATAAAGAACCTTTTTTTTTTAAAATTTTGAAAATTATTTGAAAATTATTTTCTTAACGTTAAATAAATGAATAAATTTAATAATTTTCTAAGGGGAATGATATTTATACCCTCAGATTTGATATCCATACCCCATACAAATTAAAGTTTTTTTGAACTTTAAACGAAGATATCTTGACAACGACCAAGTCAAATTTGGTAAATTTTTTTTATTTGAATTCTATAAATCTGTAACATTCAAATAAAAAAAAGTTTATTGCACTTGGCCTGGTGGTTGCCAAGGCATCTTCGCTCAAAGTCTTAAAAAACTCAAAACGTCTATTAAAACAGAAATTGCGCCAAAATTCTTTTGAAGATATCTTAACAACCACCAAGTCAAAGTCAATGAACTTTTTTTTATTTGAATTCTACGGATCTGTAGTATTCAAATAAAAAAAAAAGTTCGTCGAATTTGACCCAGTGGTTGTTTAGATACCTTCGTTCAAACATTGGGAAAATTTTTGACACAGCTTCTATTACAGGCGTTTGAGATTTTTAAACCTTCGAACGAATATATCTTGACATCCATCGGGTAAAATTCATGAACTTTTTTTTATTTGAATTCTACTGATTCGTAGAATTCAAATAAAAAAAATTTGACGCAGTTCTGTTTTGATAGACGTTTTGAGATAAGACTTTGAGCGAAGATATCTTGACAACCACCAGGCCAAATTCGATGAACATTTTTTATTTGAATTCTACGTGTTCATAGAGTTCAAATAATATATAGTTATTGGATGTGAAGCAGCCAATAACGAGAATTATTTGTAAAATAATTCATTATCTGGCTGCGAATTTGATATTCAGCTTCTGGGCCCCAAAGGGGCCCAGAAATGACACATATCAAATTCGCAGCCAGATAAACAAGTTATTGGCTGCCCAAATGACTCGAGTTTTTGGTAGTGATTATGTAAGCTGCCAAATAACTTCGTTAATTGGCAGATGACGTCATCACTGGAGCTATTTGGCAAGCACTATCATAGTAAGCTGCCGGATAATATATAGTTATTGGATGCGAAGCAGCCAATAACGAGAATTATTTGTAAAATAATTCATTATCTGGCTGTGAAT